GCAGCTTTCCAGCCACTCGTCCCCAAGCTTGAATGACTGGGTAAGTCCCAATAATGACTTCTCTAGGGTAGTAACCACGACTTTTCTAAAACAGGAGCAAAGCTTATCTCTTGCATGTGGGTAGTCAAAGGACCCATCAGAAGTGTTAATGCATTTGAGAGTTCATCTGCTGCTCGTTGTACTATCTGGAACAACAAAGCTGCATTTATTTATTTATTAAAAAAAAACCAAGAAGTAGTATAAGAAAACAAAAATTCAAAACCCTGCCAAAACAAAATATTATGTGGTTACTCATTTCTTTCTTCTGTATGGAAGAGGAGGGGGGAGATGCTATTTAAGTGACACAATGCACTTAAATGTCCTCAGATATGTACTAGAGAGAGCATGTAAAAACTTACACTGAATGCAGTAGGAAAAGTGAAGAAGGAGGCCATCAGCACCCTTCCTAAATTTGCTCTTGTCCCTGATTTCCCCTAATGGTGGGATGTATAGTAGTAACTGCTGTGGGCTTGTGGATGGATAAGATGCACTTTGCAATAGGTTGTAAAGCCAGTGCAGTTTGCCGAGCTGTACCACTAGATGGAGGCAGATATTGCAGAGTTCATATCGAGTAAGCAGGGTGAGCTCTACCAGTGGCAGCCGTTTTCCCCAAAGGACAGGTCCTGTATGTCGATGGAAGCGCAACAGGAGCTCAGTGAGAGGCAAGATCATCAGTGGTACCTTTGCACCCTCTGAAGACCAGAATCCTGGCTCCTACTTTATTTCAGGTGCTGTGGAGATGCTAGCTGAGTGCTGCTGCTTCTCAGGGATGCCTCCTTCAAGACACAAGGGTGCCTCACTCCCACCCTGTGCAGGCTCCACTGCAGGCCGGTCAGCTCGTGTGCTCGCTGGAAGCTGTCTCCTGGATGCGTCCCATTGTCAGGACAGTCTTCCTAGCAATATACCTCTGGAGCTTTATCCCATTCATCTCAGTTCATATGGAAATGAACTGTACACTAAAAACCAGATCTGGTACTTTCAGTCAAGTATTTGTTCTCATGCCTTCCTCATTTGTCAGTACAGTGCCTCCTCCAGCACGGTACGTGGATTGTCCTATGTGTCCTTAGAAATGGTTTTTTCTGCAGTCTTTCCTCTGATGATGTCTGTCTTCTATGTCAGTTTTCTCTTGAAGAAGCACTAGTGAGTGACCTGAGCTCAATAAAAAGCACAGTGTGTCTCTGTTTTCTGCTGTGTTGCCTGTAGGGACTTTGGACAAAAGAACAGGGTGCTTCCTGTCAACATTGTATGTTTCCAGGCCCTGCCTTGGTTAAGCACCTGCACAGGCCACAGAGCTCACTAATCCCATTCTTCATAGTCTTTAATGCAGTCTGGGATCTGACCCTCCATTCTGGGGCTTCCTGTTTTTCTCATACCTGAAGACATCTGTGCCCTCAGAATAATATCCACTTAGCACTAGCTACTTCGTCTTTGAGCCTCACATGGAAGAAATGGCTAGTAACTGATAGGAGTATTTTTAAAATTCTGTCTTACCAGAGGTATGAAACCTTTATGAGAGGGAAGAACTTGAAGGAACCATTCTTCCTGCCCTATACTTACATATAGTTGACACTCAGAATGTCTCAGTCAGTGACTTATTTCAGCCATCCCACCATTTGGTGCTACTGCTGTCAGATCAGGAGCTCTAATTCTCTCTCCTCCTCTTTTCAGCTGATTGCTCCCTCTCCTTATGGAGGAGGTAGCTGTAGGGTTTCTGTCTTGCCATTGCTGGAGGCACATCCAAAGCAATCACAGAGTGGTGGTGATCCTGTGGATGGTGAAGATCCTTTTTCTGCTGGACTACCTTGAAGCTAAGGTGTTAGCTAGGAAGAGAGTAATTAGAAGGGGTCAGAAGGAAGGCATAAAAAGGTAGTTTCTCAATGTGACAGAGAAATTGACCATCATTCCTTACAGCTTGTTTCACATCCCTTTCAGCTCCAGGGAGCCAGGAGGAGCAAACTCCAGTGATTAGCTGGTACCCAGAAACTTGAGTGGGAACTAGGCATACCTTGGGAAGTGTACTAGTCTTTAGATGCTGTCCTGGGAAACATATGTCTGGTTGCTGAGAGAACACGGGATGAGTCCTCTTTGTGTAGGTAGTTTAAAATTGCTTGTTCTGCTTTCCACCCAGCCCTTGATTTGCAGAAATTGCCACCACTTTCTTGTGTCCTACATTGCCCATTAGCAGACTTCCTTCTCTCAGGTGTCCTGCACCAAAACTGGGGTTGGGCAAAATGTTTCCCAGTTGTATGTGACCTCAGAACGCTTGAATTGCCAGGCAGCAGCTCTTGAACTGGAAAAGGCTTTTGGATAAGGGCGGGGAAATGCTGCCAGTCTTTTGAGAAACTAGACCTTTGTGCACATTTGACAAATGTATGAAGGTGGAAGAAGCCTTTTCTCCCCGTCAGGGAGCATAAAAATCTCCTAATGGAGAAACCACTGATCCCATAAGAGTTTATTGTGTCAAATATGCAAAAAAAGCTCCAATATTTGTAGATCACTGCCTGTGTACAAAGTAAGCTGTTCTCATCACATCCTTCCCAACCTCTCCAAGGACTGAACCCAGTGGAGGCTTTGAAGTTTCTCAGGTGATGTGTTGCTCTGGGAGCCAGGAAATCATGGACATTTTCTCCTGGGATTGAGAGACATGGATATATTTTCCCATGTCATTTGAGCTCTTCAGTTATGGCAGGAAGACACACATCCCACCCTGCAGCAGAGAGCAGCTCAGGCCCCCGGGATAACCAACCAGCTTCAGCACTCCAGCGGCCAGGAGGTCATTCTAGTTTTCCCAGGGCTATGCCTGTCTCTGCTTGTTTTTGTTTTATGTCAGGGTGAGGAGGGAAGGAGAATTCCTGGGTTTTTTTTTCTTTCCAAATTTCAAAATACCTGGGAGGTATTTGAATATCACAGTGGACAATGGGAACCCTAGTCCACTACTTCTTAAACCTGCTTCTCTGGCAAGCCAGGGAGGACAGAAATCCCCTTGGGAAAGCATCCCATCCCATGCTGAAGGACAGACTGTGGAGACCTTCTCCTCTATGTGTGAGCTGTATGGGAAGCACACTGTGATTCTGAGACAGCAGCAGTAGGTACTCTGAAAGGTCCAGGACATGCATGGGAACTGAAAACAAGCCAGGAACAGGGTTTATACTCCAGCAGTGAATGCACATAGTCTCTTTAGGTACCTATACCTCTATTCAGAAAGATATTAATCTGTCTGTCTATCACACATGCAGTAATTACTTAATCCCCCAGTAAAATGCCAGAAGTAAAAAAAATAAATTAGACAACAGAGTATACATGTTTGGCGTTTTTAATTTTTAAGTGAAATTTTATAAAGTGTGAATGAATCAATATAAAATTCAGGGAGAGAAAGTGCTGTCCAGGAGTTCACCACTTTAATTAGCTAGAAGATTAAAATTGTTTTGGAACACCAAAACAACTAGATGTGAATTCTTTGATCTTTTTGAAGCACTATCTTCAAGAGTTTGGTGACTTTCTCCCTGTGGGAAAGAAGCACAAAACATAGAGACTGTGTTGGAAATGGACAATACAGGCAGCTGTTTCATTCCTACATGCTACAGTGTTCCTGTAGCGTGCCCTGAGGAAGGTGGTGCCTAAAGAAAAGCAAACCTGGCAAAGTTTACCCCATGGGATCAATTCTCATTAGGCTCCCCTCCTATTGCCAAGTAGTTCCTGCCTTCACTGACCTGTCCCATTGACTTGGTAAGTGGCACAGTGTCTCTCATTTCCCTGCCATTAGCCTCACTCACTGAAACAGCTCATTTGCAGGACAAGGTCCCCAGGATTTGTTAGGCAATATACAGGTGTGCAGGAAGACAGTGCACCAGACTGCTGCACTGCTGCTCTGTCACCTCTTGATTTCTGTGAGGACACGCTACAGCAGGAACATAGTGAACTAAGTATACAGGAATGTGTTTTTCCTAAGTTTGTTCCCCATCCTTTTTGTTCATATGACAAGGCCCTTGCAATTAGAGAGAGTAGAAAAACCTGAACCCCAGTAGGTTTTATCTTGAAAATCAAATCTTATAATGAAATTACCATATAACTTCTGAATTCCTCGCTTATCGTCCTCTGAAAGTTTGAAGGTTGCTGGGTTCACATATGAGTAGATAGGGTACATCAGAGCTCCACGGACATTTGAGTGAGCAAGTCCCAAAGAATGGCCAAATTCATGAGCAGCAACAAGGAACAAATTAACTTCTGCAGCACAGAAGCATAGAAAAGTATGTTAAAGATATGACATCTCTTTTTAACATACAAAAAATTGATGTAGCGGAAGAATTTATGTATTTCATTCCCTTGGAATGAAACCACAGGGCTTTGATCATTTTTTACTGATCTTTCTTATTTAACTACAATATTTTAATAAAAGCATTATTGATCCTTGCATATGTATCTAGAGACCCTGAGTCTCTTTCCAACTCTGTTTTTAGTCAACCTTACTCCTACAAGCCATTTTACCTTTTCAGAATTTATGTAGAAAATAGAGGTTCATAGTCCTTGTTTAGCCTGTGAAAAGTGCTTTAAAATATGATCAGAACAGGAATTATGTAGCTGCTAATGATGATGAAGCACACGGAAATATTGGTACTGAAATGGTCCTGAAGCATGAAGAGTCATGCAAAGCATTTCCTATGGCTGTGTTGTTCTAACATGTACAATATTTGCCTTCCCCCTTCACACACACACGTAGGTTTTACCTTGATTATACTCTGACCACCTTTCATCATCATCAAAATGAGCATCTCCACCAAGCCCTTCTCCAGGTGCAAATGCATGAGCCAGTGTGTTACCTCGTCCGTCAAAAGGATATCCATCACCATGCTCTGCATTTGAAAGAATAAATGTCAATAGATGACATCAGCTGTAATACTTAAATTCAGCAAAAGAAAGCATGTTGTTTGTTTGCATTAGTTTAGTTTATTAGCCAGCCTTAAAAAAAATTCTGCAATAGCAGGGATGTTGTAAAAATGAAGAACAGGAAACACTCGCCAAATTCATAACTTAACCTCAAAACTGATATTTCATCATTCAGGTTGCTGCATATTTCAGAAAGAGCTGAACATTTTTTCTGAGCCTTTGTCAGAACCATGTTTCTGAGGCAGCCGTTGGGGATTATTTCAGAATAAAAACTTAATGCTTGACAACATTGTAAACATCTGAATGTTTCCTGTGTTGGAAAGTTCTGGGCAACATTAGTTGTAGGCATTCTCACTTGTACTGATTTTGGAGGAAGACAGTGATTTGGGACAGATACTCATCTTCCTGAAGAGCTGAGTTCATTTGTCCAGCCTTAGGGCATGGCCTATTACCTACTTCTATCACAGTGCACGTGGAGTGTCACCATTTCCTACCTTGAGTGCAAGAGCTCACAGGATGGTATCTGAAAATTTCCCCTGACCCTTTAGTGAGCCCTGACTTGATTGAGGATTATTTGAGGACTCAAATGCTGATCTGTGTCCTTTCCGCCAGACCACATGAGTGGACTTTGAGGCAGGGCTAACACAAGGAGAAGAGACCTTGTCCTAGTGCATGATGAGGGATTAAAACCCATTCCAGCTTGCAGAATCTTTTCTCACTTTGACCAGCACATTAGTTGACTCTTCATGGCACAATCACAGAATCACAGAATCGCTCGGT